AACTCCAGAGTCAAGAGGTCAAATATGTTGGTACCCGAAGAAAAGTCTTGTCACAAGTTCAAACTCAAAAGTTATGGGCAAGGCTAAAGTTTTTGCAGTCAATCAGACTAATAGACAGACAGAGAGCTAGTCAAACGAACGGACAGGGCAAAATCTATATGCTCCCATTTAAGCTTAATTTTAGATTTAGTTGTGTCTTTGATGCAGGCAAAAGATGCGTTTTTAGGAATAATGATTTTAATCTATCAACCTTGTGATAACATTTCAAAGATGAATAAATTTTTCATTGAAGGTCGGTACTTTCTGTTTAAGGTACCTGAAAATGATAACAGATTCTTAAGGTTTTTCATCTCTAATAGGACCTAATTTTCTATCCTTAAATATCCATCACGTATATAATACTCTGATTTTAATTCAATGCATTTTACAGTAGAAAAGGATTTACCAAGAGAAAGTTTCAAAAATGTAATTAACTAAACTTTATTCAATTTTATTTGAAAATGAGGCTATTAGGGATGGAATACCTTAATCATTAATTTACTTGAAAAGATAATATAGAAAGTGTAAACTTTACAGATTTAAGTGTAAGTTTTACAGATTAAAGTGTACATTTAACAGATGAAAGTGTAAAATTTACAGATTAAAGTGTAATTTTTACAGATTTAAGTGTACAATTTACAGATTAAAGTGTAAAATATACAGATTAAAGTGTAAATTCTACAGGTTAAAGTGTAAAATTTGGAGATTTAAGTATTGAAATTAAAAAACAAAGAGTGTAAAAAAAAAAAGCACTAATACTCTTCTGTACTTCAAAACGAATAAAATATGTACTTATTTAGAAACATTACACATATTTGTACTGTTTTGTTATCAGCAATATTGTTGCCCACATTGCTTCACAATTTACAGTTCTCAATATTTTGAATTAAAGCTCTCTATAATGCTTAACATGACATTTTAATTATATGGTCAGTGTTTATCTTTTGAATAAAGCATGTTCAAGGAGAGAGGCAGCAGGTTGAATTTTTGCATAAATACTTTTAAAGAAACGGACCAGAAGGAGTAGAACGTGCAAATATCAGAGCAGCAGAAAGAGTGATGAAGCCTGGAGTAAATTTGCGCATACTCATAAGCACTTAACAGTGCTGTGCAAGAGGATTTGTTAAAAATAATGCAAAGACCAACCTGGCATCCCTAATGTCTTTAATTCTCAACAATGCTTAAGCCATTACTAAACTGAATTCCTCAAACCGGAAGTCATTGGTCGGTTTATCTGTAACTGGTAAGTACAAATTGTGGCGCAATATTCACTTAGATAAAGTAAATGATTAACTTCAAATCTTGCCTCACAAAAAGAAAAATTCATTCTCTGTGTGTTCAGCTGCCATAAATGAAAAAGGTGAAGATAACGAATAGTGATCGATCTCAAAAATCTATAAACAATACATACATGTATATCTGAAGAGGGCATAGACACGGACCCCTGGAAATTTCATAGGTGGGACCAGGTGCCTAGGAGGAGTAAGCATCCCTTCTTGACTGATCACACCCGCTATTATCCGTATGTATAGATCAGGTAGACGGAACATTCCGTAGTCGAATTCAGTATAAAAACAAAGGCCAAACAATTGGTCTGAAACACGTCAGACAAAATACCACCCTTTGATATTTGCTAATATATTAACTTTTTTCTAGGTATTTTAAGGAATCAGAAACATTGATATTTGATATGCTGTCCTTCGTCCCTTGATCTATTTACCATTGATTTATGGACACTGCCCTCAATGTATGAATTTTTTTTGTTTTCTTGTAATTGTTTTAAATAATATCAAAATTCTTTCGGCAACATCCAAGAAGCACTTGAATGGACTGAGCTTTTCCGTGGTGGCAAAGGCAAAATCCTTGAAACTCGGAGCAAGCCAGACAGTAAAAATCGATGGAATCTTAACTAATGATAGTAACGGATATGACGACAGAACAGGTGTCTTCATGTGCCCGGTGGCAGGAAGTTATTTTTTTTATCATTGACATCCTCTGTCCCTAAACAGTATGGCTTCACATTTACCTCAATAAGAATAGTTTGGCATCTCACCATATTCTCGTTCTCATCGAGATGGCACCTATATGCAAATAAGTAGAACTGTTGTGTTGAAGCTAAGACGGAAAGATGATGTCAAAGTCGTAAATTAAGTTAGTCATGTAGGGGAAGTTTATCATGGCTCATGTTCTGGATTTTCTGGTATTTTGCTTTATTGAGGTAAATTTCATCTTTATGAATTACGTAGAGATTATCTGCTCCTGACAACTCCGACTGAATCTGTTGATCTTAGTTTTATATTTAGTTTCCTGCAATAGCTGGAAGTAGTTAATAGAAAAGGTGAACAGCAAAGCACTTTTCGCAATCCTTATTTATGTCAAAATAAACTTTTTGATCTTCATTAAAGATTTTGGCAAAGATTGTTTTTTTTACATGTATCATGTTTCATAGAAATAAATTATTTAAGCTAATATAAAGATTTTTTTTTAGAGAAAATGTTAATCCCAAAGAGTTAGTATTTTGAGGCAAAGTCAAATTCGGGAATTTCTGTTAAATATTAGCGTTTTTAACTTTTAAACCGTTTTTTTTAATCAGTTTGGTCACTATTGACATAAAAATCCCAGTACGTCATGATATTTGAGTATCTTTCCACGTTAGTACGATAGATATCAAATAAGACATTGCTATATATAGGATGGCAAATTTTCGTCATCGTATAAAAATTATGTTTTATATATGAATTTAAAACCTGAAAAACCTGAATTATTGACAAACAAGTTGATGAAACAAGAATATCAGCAGTCTCGTTTAAAGTCATCATTTCGTAAGTTCTATGGTCGATACAATGACCTTGTCAGCAAATACAATTTATCATTGAGTCAAATGCTGACTAACGTTTTTCATACTTACTGTTAGGCCATTATTTACACACTGAATTGTCGACGGATTTTCCGTTATTTCCCGATCATTACAAGAAGCACACGGTGGGTGTGATCGGTCGGCAGGGGATGCTCACTCCTCCATGGCACCTGATCCCACCTCTAATGTTTTGGAGGTCCGTGTTTGCTCTACTCCTATTTTGTAATGTTTAATAGTCTTCTGAGCTTGAAAACTGTTCGTTATCACCATATATTTCATACATAAGCATTTAAAAAGCTATCGCAAAAGAAAGCTAAATGAAAACTTTCTTTTGCCTCAAGATTCTCAACTGCACCATAGGTAGAACCTACTTACACATCTACCGAATTATAACGTGATGACAATTTCATATGGATTTTGATTTGAAAAACCTTACTTTTTTAAAAGAATGGTTTTAATTCAATTAATAAACACGACAATTACTAACAAGAAAACAACATTAACAACACCAATGATAAAAATAAATGTAATTTGGTCTTCCATGTACATATACCCTCTGACAATCTTAACTTTACATTAAAAACGTACATATTTTTTCAATGTTGAATTATGAAGATTAATTGAATTGTTTTTAAAAATTAACTATGCCTTTTCATTGTTGCCCCCAGAATGAAATTTTGTTAATAAAAATGATGAAGGTAAGATTAGTGGTTAGTAAAAATAAGATTCAGAAACCTTGTAATAATAATACTAGTAATAAGTTTATCTTAAGTAATTGAATTTCTTTAATCATAAGGCATGGAAACTATAGCAATGAAAAGTTAAAAGAACTATTCTCATACCACACTCAGTAAGTTAAGATGTTTAATATGTTCATTGCATCGAATAAAAGACATCAGTTAGATTAATTATATTATAATATGATTTATGATACAAGCTCTGATTTAATGAGTCATAACATTACAAACATAGTGAGAGAAAAATCGTTTGCATACAAAATTTATTCATCATATTTCTGTTCCCTTTGCTTCCTTAGTACCACCACTATATCACACACTATATCACACACTGCAATTGAATTTTAAAAAAACCAACACAAACCTTATTTTTGTCATCTATATAGCTGACTGATGGATATATTTTGTTTGTTTGTTTGTTATTGTTTAACGTCAGTCTCTAGAATTTTTCACTCATATGGAGACGCCACCACTTGCCGGTGGAGAGCTGCAAATTTTGACCTATACCCTGCACTCAGGGCCATTGAGCAGTGAGGGATCTTTTTCGTGCCAGCACCTACTGCGACACGGGACCTCGGTTTATAGGGTCTCATCCGAAGGACCGGTCTCCACGTCCCTCAGTGGGATTCGAATCCGCGACCGTAAGGATCAACTCCTTACTCCGCGACTCTAGAGCGAACGCCCTAACCACTGCGCCACGCGGGCGACTGGATATTTTTTTGTAATGGCCTGAAAAGAAAGGAGAATCATCGAAATAAAACCAACTTTGTCAGTTCAGTAACCTTTTCCCAAGAAATCTTGATACTAATATCAGATTTAAATTTGACATATCTTGTAATTAAATTTTTTTTTCTAAAGGATTATTCAGATTATATTCTAATGTAATAAGATTACAATGTTTTCTGTGACCTTTTACAACTTAAATACTTTCTGAAAAATTAGAAATTTTTTTGTCTTAGTCGTAAAATACTTTGTGAAAAGGACCACTGATGATTAAGGTGATATAAAAAAGCCCGAAATGTTACATTCCTTGTAGTAAAGAGTATTCTTATAACAATTATTTTGTCAAATTAACCAAACTGTTTCAAGATGAATATCCAAATCCACACAAAACGATTTTTAAAAAAAATATATGTAAAAAAAACTAATTTTTACCTGCAGGTCTTAATTCTACAAACAGTTCCACAAACACCTATTTGTGAGCTTGCTTTTCTCAGTCTCTTTATATAAAAGAAAGTCATGGAAAGACTTTTTGACAAAAATAATTCTTTCATTATTTTTCTTCAGTGGTATTATTACATGTGTTTCTCACGTAATTAAACAAAATGAACAATTTCATATCATTACCAGAGTGTCCACGGGTAAGTATGGATCGAAGTGTGATTTACCATGCCCAGTGCATTGCGAAGGAAATGTGTGTGATTCAGTATCAGGGTCCTGTCTTCAGTGTATGGTTGGATGGAAAGGCCCACACTGTGATCAAAGTAGGTGTTAAATTTTATCATAATACGCTGATTAAATTATGATGGTAACATTTTCAAGGTACATGATTTACAAATTTAAACAGACAAAGAGGGAAAAAAAGACATTTGACATATGAGTACAAAAAGCAAGGCCATATTGATTTAATGTTAACTAACATTTTTTCTCTCCAGAATATAACAAAAAATAATAAAAGTGAATTCTATACTCGATATATTATTCTGTTTTAGGATATGAAAGGGCAGGGATTTATGGAGTACATTGTGATTTGCCATGCCCATTACATTGTTTAGGAGACGTTTGTGATCCTGTATATGGAACATGCTATAATTGCACGAATGGTTGGGTAGGCAGTTCTTGTGACGAGCGTATGTATTTATTTAATATGGCTATATTTCTGATTTATTTCGTATTAGAATACATGTATGAAAAGTATTTTAATTAATTACAATCAAGGCTAATCAAAAGAATATTGAATTTTAATGGAATTTGTTTCATAAATGGTAGTGTAATGAAGCAGTAAATATACCATTTGGGCATTGATTACATTTTGATATAATATGTTTGAAAGAAAAAGGAAAAAAAAAGCTATTATATAAAATTCCTTTAAAACGTATCAAGGGTTGATCCTAAAGTATTGTCATAACTGTTTTAAAATCTTTGATCATCGAAAGTTATCAATAAAATATTTATATGCTTATATCTTTATCTATTTTGATTTTTGCCTCAAAATTTCATTCGTATGTAATACTTCTTAAAATATTACAATGAACACATTGTAAGGTTTTGTCTATCACTATACGGCAAGAATGTACTCACGATGTTATGACGTTTCTTTTTGGCAGTCATATTCAGTTCATCCATTAATCTATTAAATATCTCAGATATGCCTATCATTTCATGTGCACACCCAACTACTTCTGGAACATCTAGTTTTGAGCTATTTTATATTTTAAACGTTCCATATTCCATGTACATTATTTGCTGTTCGTACGTGTTGATCTAGATTTAAGAGGGGGATAATTAAGGAGATAACGAACAGTATTCAAGTTCAAAGTCCATTAAAACAATACGAATCGGGAGCAGAGCAAAGACGGACCTCAACTGCCGTGTGCTCCTTGTCATGATCGGGAAATAACGGAAACATCCGTCGACAATTCAGTGTGTAAATAATGGCCTAACAATTAATATGAAAAACGTCAGTCAGTATATGACTTAATGATAGAGTGTATTTGCTGACAAGGTCAATGTATCGACTATAGAAGTTACGAAATAATGACTTTAAACGAGACTGTTGACATTCTTGTTTTATCAACTTGTTTGTCGGTAACTTTCCTCGTTTTAGAAATTGTTCATACATAGAGCATGCTCTTGCGTATCGAATCAACTGAGAGATATACACCCCATATGCAGGTGATAAGGATATATTGCTGCACAATTAAGGGACGTTGACGACTGAAAAGTTAAAGTCATCACGTTTTTCATAAAGCTTTGTTGTCAGATTACCATTAACGTCTTTTTCTAGTAAAATATCAAAATATGAAACAGATGTGTCAGTCTCTGTGGTATCTTTTACTTCAAGCTCACTGGGATATATCGTGTCGACATATGAATTGAAATAACTTGTTAATTGATAATACGTAATTAATATATTTAAATGTCGAGTTGAAGGCCACAGCAAGAGATTTCTTTTTCTCATGTATAAGATGTTTAATTAATTCTGCTGCATATGAATACAAAAATAGGTCTTCTAACAACGGGGCGCAATTGGTACCCATGGGAATTCCAATAGACTGTTGGAAGACCTGGTCTCCAAAGACCACATTTATATTGTCAATCAGAAATTCAAGCATCTTTTAAATATCAACTTCAGAGTACTTGTGTGTACAATCAGATTTTTTTTTTTTACAAAATAATTTTGCAAATGACCATTTACTAGGTAAGTAAATTAACGATTTTCATTTTTATTGAAAAAACAGCTGTCATTGATGTCAAGAAGCCTGGACTTTAATATATCGTGGGGAATGGTTGTATATAGAGTTTAAAAGTCGTAAGTTTTTATGTTATTTATTTAGGTTACATTTTGTGATTTCAAATTTTCCAAACGTGCCTTGGAACTTTTAAGTATCCACATCTGATTTACACCACTTCTCGAATATATTGTTGCACAGTACTTCTGAAGTTTCTCCTTCACTGCTGTTAATATTTTAATGAGGAGCAAAGAATAAGGCTGATTGGAACATTTACTGGAATCCTCTATGTTTCTTTGTTTGTAAGGATCTTTATGAGTTTCGGAATCAAATATAAATGTGGTAATTGAAATTCATTTTGGTTGTTGGGAATATTAAAAATATTCAAAACTGACATCTGATTTTGAAGAATTTCCTCCTTAGAAAGGGAGCTATTGGTGTACGTTGGATTGCCACTTGTAGAATTAAACCCCAGTTCTTCTAAAAAAACAATTAAAATAATGAGCCGTACAAATAAAGACAATGTTGTTACGTGCTTTGTCAGCTGGGACCAGTACATACTGATCGTGTAGTCTATCTAATTCTTTATTTTCTCTTCTGAACTATTGAACACAGAAGGATAGATATTTTTTATATTGCCCCTCAATCGCTTAATGCGAGATTGTATTATACATCTGATACATTTAGTCCATTCTGAGAAAGTGTCAAGGTCTTTTTTCATGTCTGGCCCATCGCCTGGGGTAATCTTCCACAGAATTCATAATATTTATGAAATTATGATTGCAGTTGAAAGATCGGAGTTCCGAAAATTTTTGCAACTTTTTATTTTATGCAACTTTTCTATCTTAATTTCTTTTTGATGTTAATTGTTTCTTTATCAGTATTAATTTCTAACTGGACTTAAGACAGGTATTCAAACTTTTCAACAATTCAAAAAGAGTGGACGATCAAACAATGCAACTTTTAACGTCACTTACCCTTGAATCTGACGACACGTAAGAGCTATGCAAAAAGAATGAACTTAGAAACAACATTTGGACAAAGTTCAAACAATATCAATACTACAACTCAAAACAAGACCTGTCATCCGCGTGAACCTTTGTTCGAGAGTCTTACGAGATCCCCTGATGTACTTCCACTCCCCCATATATTCCTATGTAAAACTTTGATTCCTTGTTGTGAATCCATCTTACCCCCGGGTGTCATGATTTGAACATACTTGAATCTACAGTACCTTAGCATACCGGGTATGGCTACCATGGGTTTGCCGGTCTTGTGAAGAGGATTTTTGAAGATGTAGCTCAGTAGCCTACTCTACCCTTTGGGGCATGATTTGAACATATTTGAATCTACATTACCTGAAGATACTTCCATATTAATTTATCATGTTTTTCATGGTCTTCAGTTCATCTTTAAAGATTTTTTCTGCTATATATCAACACGTAAAACACTGATCGCCCATCCTACCCCCCCCCCCCCTCCCCGGGGATCATAATTTGAACTAAATTGAATTTGAATCTTTAGTACACGAGGATGCTTACTTATCAATATGACTTATAATGGCTCTGATGTTCTCAGAATGATTTTTAAACATTTTCCCTATTTATTCCTAAGTAAAACTTTGATCCATTATTACGGTCCCTCCCAATCCCCTGGGGTTATGATTCGAACAAACTTGAATCTACACTACCTGATGACCTTAGGGTGCTTCCATATCGATATCACTAATCATGGTTTTGCTGTTCTTGAGAAGATTTTTAAGTTTTTTTCTATATATTCCTGTGTAAAATGTTGACCCTCAGTACAGCCCCAGCCTACTCCTTGATTTGAATGAAGTTGAATTTACACAACCTGGGGATGCTTCCATATCAATGTGATTAATCATGGCTTTGCTGTTCTTGAGATTTTGATTGAAAATTTTTAAAGAATTTTTACCATATATTTTTATGTTAAGATTTTATCCCCAATTGTCACCTTACCTTACCCATGATTTGAAAAAAATAAACTTGAATCTATACTACCTGAGGATGTTTTTATATTAATTTGACTAATAATGCATTGCTTTATTGAGAAAAAGATTTTTAAAAGGTTTTTCCTATATATATTCCTATGTAAAACTTTAATCCCCCATTGTGTCCCCACCCTAACCTCGGGGATCCTATTAGAACATATATGATTCAACACTATGTAATAAAGCTTCCAGAAAACTTTCAACTTTTCTAGCCAAGTGGTTACAGAGAAGAAAATTTTTAAAAAGATGCTACACAATTGTCACTAATTCTTAGTTATCTCCCCCTGAAAAAGGGCATGACTCTTCATTTGAACAAATTTGAATTCCCATCAACCGATATTGCTTTGTGGCAAGTTAGGTAGAAATTTACCGAGTGGTTCTGGTTAAGAAATCGAAAATGTGAAAAATCTACAGACGGACGACGGACAAAATGTGATCAGAAAAGCTCACTTGAGCTTTCAGCTTAGTAGTCTTTTTCACAAAAAATCTGAAGTTTTTGCGTAGAAATCTCTTACGACTAATCTTAAGTGCTTTTCACAAATGCAATTGTAGCAGATTAAACTTAAGATTTTACTTACGACAGACTTCTTCCCTAGCAACGATCTCGGTATGCATTATAATCCTCAAAAAAGTGCATGAGAATAACGATGAAACGAATATTTCATCACTTGAAAGCGAAACAAATATCATTGACAACAAATATCGAATGCAATCGATTATTAAGCAAGGAAGTTTAAAATCTGACGTCACAATCACGAATCTGACGTAAAGGTCATACGAAATATTTAGTGAAACTGCCATCGTAAATATTTTGTAGTATATTTCATTTAATTTTTCGACAACAGTTGTAAAAAAATATAAATTGCTATTTTTTGATGCTTAAAAAAGTTCAATTAAACGTGTGGTTTTGTTTTATCAGATTACATTTTTACAATAAAATCGGTTCTATATACTATGAGAGGGTTAGAGCTCTCTTAAAGTTATGACAAATTTTACACTCAAGAAACTTGCACGATGTTTTGTAAAAAAGAATAAAATCGCAAGATTTCTCTTATGATGGGAATTTATCATAAGATTTTTTTGTAATGGGTCTACTGGTGTACAAAAAAGTATTTTATATAAATGAATAAAATCTTAAGGCAAAAATTAAAATACATAGGAGTACTGGTATGTAAAGTACTGTTGATAACATTCCGTCATAAAAATTAAAATACATAGGAGTATTGGTATGTAAAGTACTGTTGATAACATTCCGTAATAAAAATTAAAATACATAGGAGTACTGGTATGTAAAGTACTGTTGATAACATTCCGTCATAAAAATTAAAATACATAGGAGTATTGGTATGTAAAGTACTGTTGATAACATTCCGTCATAAAAATTAAAATACATAGGAGTACTGGTATGTAAAGTACTGTTGATAACATTCCGTCATAAAAATTAAAATACATAGGAGTATTGGTATGTAAAGTACTGTTGATAACATTCCGTCATAAAAATTAAAATACATAGGAGTATTGGTATGTAAAGTACTGTTGATAACATTCCGTAATAAAAATTAAAATACATGGGAGTACTGGTATGTAAAGTACTGTTGATAACATTCCGTCATAAAAATTAAAATACATAGGAGTATTGGTATGTAAAGTACTGTTGATAACATTCCGTCATAAAACTTAAAATACATAGGAGTACTGGTATGTAAAGTACTGTTGATAACATTCCGTCATAAAACTTAAAATACATAGGAGTACTGGTATGTAAAGTACTGTTGATAACATTCCGTCATAAAAATTAAAATACATAGGAGTACTGGTATGTAAAGTACTGTTGATAACATTCCGTCATAAAAATTAAAATACATAGGAGTATTGGTATGTAAAGTACTGTTGATAACATTCCGTCATAAAAATTAAAATACATAGGAGTACTGGTATGTAAAGTACTGTTGATAACATTCCGTCATAAAAATTAAAATACATAGGAGTACTGGTATGTAAAGTACTGTTGATAACATTCCGTCATAAAAATTAAAATACATAGGAGTACTGGTATGTAAAGTACTGTTGATAACATTCCGTCATAAAACTTAAAATACATAGGAGTATTGGTATGTAAAGTACTGTTGATAACATTCCGTCATAAAAATTAAAATACATAGGAGTACTGGTATGTAAAGTACTGTTGATAACATTCCGTCATAAAAATTAAAATACATAGGAGTACTGGTATGTAAAGTACTGTTGATAACATTCCGTCATAAAAATTAAAATACATAGGAGTACTGGTATGTAAAGTACTGTTGATAACATTCCGTCATAAAAATTAAAATACATAGGAGTATTGGTATGTAAAGTACTGTTGATAACATTCCGTCATAAAAATTAAAATACATAGGAGTACTGGTATGTAAAGTACTGTTGATAACATTCCGTCATAAAAATTAAAATACATAGGAGTACTGGTATGTAAAGTACTGTTGATAACATTCCGTCATAAAAATTAAAATACATAGGAGTACTGGTATGTAAAGTACTGTTGATAACATTCCGTCATAAAAATTAAAATACATAGGAGTACTGGTATGTAAAGTACTGTTGATAACATTCCGTCATAAAAATTAAAATACATAGGAGTATTGGTATGTAAAGTACTGTTGATAACATTCCGTCATAAAAATTAAAATACATAGGAGTACTGGTATGTAAAGTACTGTTGATAACATTCCGTCATAAAAATTAAAATACATAGGAGTATTGGTATGTAAAGTACTGTTGATAACATTCCGTCATAAAAATTAAAATACATAGGAGTATTGGTATGTAAAGTACTGTTGATAACATTCCGTCATAAAAATTAAAATACATAGGAGTATTGGTATGTAAAGTACTGTTGATAACATTCCGTCATAAAAATTAAAATACATAGGAGTATTGGTATGTAAAGTACTGTTGATAACATTCCGTTATAAAAATTAAAATGCATAGGAGTACTGGTATGTAAAGTACTGTTGATAACATTCCGTCATAAAAATTAAAATACATAGGAGTATTGGTATGTAAAGTACTGTTGATAACATTCCGTCATAAAAAGTAAAATACATAGGAGTATTGGTATGTAAAGTACTGTTGATAACATTCCGTCATAAAAATTAAAATACATAGGAGTATTGGTATGTAAAGTACTGTTGATAACATTCCGTCATAAAAATTAAAATACATAGGAGTATTGGTATGTAAAGTACTGTTGATAACATTCCGTCATAAAAATTAAAATACATAGGAGTATTGGTATGTAAAGTACTGTTGATAACATTCCGTCATAAAAATTAAAATACATAGGAGTATTGGTATGTAAAGTACTGTTGATAACATTCCGTCATAAAAATTAAAATACATAGGAGTACTGGTATGTAAAGTACTGTTGATAACATTCCGTCATAAAAATTAAAATACATAGGAGTATTGGTATGTAAAGTACTGTTGATAACATTCCGTCATAAAAATTAAAATACATAGGAGTACTGGTATGTAAAGTACTGTTGATAACATTCCGTCATAAAAATTAAAATACATAGGAGTATTGGTATGTAAAGTACTGTTGATAACATTCCGTCATAAAAATTAAAATACATAGGAGTATTGGTATGTAAAGTACTGTTGATAACATTCCGTAATGAAAGATTTTTTAGCAGTTGTGACATTACTTTTTGATCAAGCCTCGCATTTATACATTTATACATTATACATTTATACATTATACATTTATACATTTATATATTTATACATTTATACATTTATACATTTATACATCACCACAAACGAAGTCGATGCGAGCTTCAAGTGTTGAATTGTTCCTCTTCCGATTTTGTCCGCCAATGTTCTGGTAGATGGCCTCAACAGTTTTAATGAAATCTCATATATGATAATCTTGCTTTCCACATTTTAAATGTTTAAAATCTCCACAATTGCCATAGGAATAGAGGAAGTGTAAACAATTTCAAATCTTTTCTTGTAACTGTGCAGCAATAAATTATTATTCCTTGCAACAGGATAAATGTAAAAGGTGTCGATAGTGATCAATGTTATAAATCAAATAGAGAATACGAATCATGAAACAAAAACATAGACTCTGGAAACACCAGAGGTTGGGTCAGGTACCTAGGAGGTGACAGCATCCCCAGTCGATCGATCACACTGTCCATGAGCCGCCTGTATTGAAAACACCGTACGCAGGTGATTGGGGAATAATTCAACAAAGAAAGAAAAAGTTAACGATGCAAAAAGCAGATGCCATCTCGTTTGTCATATAATAATATCTGCAAAACAGAAATGGAATCTTTTAAACTTTTGAAATCAATGATTGATTCATTGAATGTATATTGTTTTCATCCCTTTCGAGAATTTTCCATTCATACAGAGACGTCACCATATACAGGTGAAGGGCTTAAATTTTGACCTTTACTCGGCACTCATTGCCATTAAGCAGTGAGGGATTTTTATCGTGTCAACGCCTGCCGTGACACGGGACCTTGGTTTTTAAGGTCTCATCCGAAGGACCCGCAACTTTCACTTCAAAGTGCCGAGCGCATGGCGAAGGAACAGTTGCTACCCATTTTTTATCGACTTAGGTCAGTCGCAGCTGAGATTCGAACTCACGACCTCCCGATCACGGAGCGAGAGCTCTACAGAGTGAGTTACCGTGAACGGTTTTAAATCAATGAAAAATGAAAACAAAACGATAAAATTTTCTTTCAATTTAATTGTTTCCTCTTAAAGTATCTCAATATGCATAAAATTGATTTGTTAGGGTATTCTCAAGATTTTGGAATTGAAAAAAATTCAAAATAGTTGTCATTGTCATGGAAAGAAATATTTAATTTTTTGCAAATATTTAAATTAGTATTTAACTACTGTACTTTTATTGTAATATTGCACCTTGGGGTCAGTTTTTTATGCATATATGCTATTGATTGAAATAGCAAATATACTAGTTAAGTTTCTCGTATAGTATACATAACATAAAAAGGCTACAGCCTTGACTTTTCTCAAGAACACATTAAGATGTAACAACTAAAATTTCTCTTCAAATTTTAAATGTTTTGCAATTACAGTGGAATCTAAAACAACACAAACAAAATTTTTACACTTCAGCTTGTTCACCTGGAACATATGGTTTTCAATGTAAAGACATTTGTAAGGGCCATTGCGTTGGGGGATGCAATTCTGTTACTGGTGACTGTGACAATGGATGTGATCCAGGTTGGATGGGTGAACATTGTAGCAATGGTAAGTGACCGGTTTTTCATTGCAAGTGACTATTTTCAGGCCTAGTACATGTTAAATCAACACACTTCATTGCAATCATGTTAATTTTTTATGTCTGATTTGGATGCTTTTTGGATATAAATTTCATTAACAAATTGGAATTCATTAAGAAAAACCCCACAGAAAAAGAAGAGGAGCAGCATTTTTGAAAAGAGAACGATTGAAAAAAAAGACTTGATAAAATACAATACCCAATTTAAACATACACAAATGTAAAAGTTCTGAAAATGATAAAATCCTTTCATATATTGAAAAATACTTAAATATATATTTGAAAAATACACTATTCATAAATGTTGCTTTTGTTTGTTTGTTTGTTGTCCCTCTCGAGAATTTTTCACTCATATGGAGATGCCACAAGTTGCCGGTAGAGAGCTGCAATTTTTTTACCTATACTCGGTACTCAGGGCCATTGAGCAGTGAGGGCATTGAGCAGTGAGGGATATTTTTCGTGCCAGCATCTACTGCGACACGGGACCTCGGTTTATACGGTCTCTTTCGAAGGACCCGTCTCCACGTCCCACAGTGGGATTCGAACCCGCGACGTAAGGATCAACTCCTTACTCCGCGACTCTGGAGCAGACGCTCTACCACTGCGCCATGCGGGCGACTCATCAATTTTGGTAAAACATATTCAGATAATTCGACTGAATTGGTAACATATCTGAGTGCCTTTTTCGATTAATATTATTCCTTTCCCAACTGAAATTATTATCGTACTGTAAATTATTTACTTTATTAAGATGACTTTTTTGTGAAAAAAGAAATTAACAACACATTTTCTGAAAAAAAAAAAAGATCTCTTTTGCTAAAAAATACGATAAAACATTATCGACCAACTTCTGTCTTTTATTACTCTTTAATAAGATTTCATGAAGAAAACAATACTATGTTTATTTATTCGTACAACTTACAGTATACCTTAGTCCATACTGTCAAATGCGAGTTGAATATTTAGAAAAGAGATAAAATATGCTCTCCCTTTATCTGACAATGTCAAGAAACATTCTTACTATTGCTCCACAGAAAAACGTGTTTCAAACCTGAGATCAGGGTAAGCAAGTTATGTTTCTGTTATTAGAGTGCTCCGAAGGATTCTATGGGCAAGGTTGTGCGTATACATGTGGACATTGTCGAAACGGCGTTGGATGTCGTAAGGCAGACGGGTTTTGTGTAAACGGATGCGATGCTGGATATAAAGGATCTATCTGTAAGGAAGGTAAGAATGGTTCATAATTCAGCAATTTAATAAGATCTTTTTAAAGTATGAAACGCTATTGATCATGCGTTTAAATTTAGTATTCATAGAAAACCTAAGCAGAAATATTTTCCCATATCCATTATAGTCTGCACAGGGGGATACTTTGGGGAAGGGTGTTTACAATTTTGCAATTCTACAACTCCTTGTAATCCTGTGAACGGTGTGTGCTGCGGTTCTACAAGACAGTATACGACTATAGGTAAGTACAAGAGGGATAATTTGCAAAGAATTAACATAAAGTTTGAAGATGTCGAAATTCCGTAATATTTTTGCTTTAATAGTTTTTACCTATTTTTTTCTACAACTTTTATAGGTAAAGGTACATGTAAGAAATCGTACTTATATACCTGTATTTTTTTCTATTTTAAGCACCTACTACATGTAAATGTCCAACATGTCCGAAACAACAGACATGTCCGAAACAACAGACATGCCCATCATGTCCACCGCAAATAACCACACATTCTCCCCGTCCAAAGGCAACCTCATCTGCGGAAAAAGTTTGGAGCATGAATGTTATATGTGCCTTTTCAATTTTACTTAGCTTGCTGTAGATGAAAATACCGTATATAGTTCTTGGATGTACACGTACTTTAAAAGTAAGAGTGGAAGTTTATCTTGTGTACTATATGGTTCATATGAACCAAAAATTCACTACAGCTTCTCTGATTATTTGTTGTCAGGCTTTTTTCTGTCTGTCACATCTTTTTGTAATGGGAGATAATCAATAAAAAAGCAAGAAACATCTCACTGCAAAAATTAGATTGTGTAGTTTGCATAGAAATCTAGGAATCTAAACTTCACAATAGTGTACACGTTAAAGTAGAAACTTCATTATTTTCTTCTAGAAAACCTTCCATCAAAATCCTAACTGAATGGGTTTTTTGTTGTGAAATTTGATTTTTATTTTGAATATTAACTTAGTATCATAGATTCGAAATGTATTGTGAGAAAAAAAATATGATGTCAAATTTTTAGCCTAAAGGCTCTGAGAAAAGTTCTCCTTAAATAAGGGATCAAAGTTGATCTTATGTACGTCATAGATGTGGTCAATTACAGTAAAAAATAACTGATTTAATTACAGTTACTCTGTCCTTTTCTTCAATTAAAAATGAAGAAGGTGAAGGTAGCGAATAACAATCAATTTATAGAGTTTTTAAGAAATTGACAATTTTGCAAAATTAATCAGATAATAAATTACTTTTTATGAAATTGTTATGATTTGTTTTTGCGAATTCGACTTAGACTTAAGGTTATCAATAAAGAAAGTTTGGGTATATTGTTGTACCCTGGTGAGTCCGTCCGTCCGTCACAGTTTCTTCTTCCTAACTCCTCTTTTATTTTAAGCAGTAACCAATTAATCTTTTGGACTATGCTAGATGATGTCCTGTAGATGTGCAATAAAGTTTTGGAATTTTAAATATAACCGCAAGGGCAAAACGGAGACTAAAAATGACTTTTTTTTTTAAACAAAAACCTGATTCCCAGAACTCCTCTGGTTCACGTACCTTGCAGTCATAATCATCTTTTGAAAGATAATTAATGGTGTCCTGAAGATGTGCAAAAAGGTTTCAGAATTTTCATTTTCACCCTGGGAGTCAAATTGGGGTCGAAAATGATGATTTTTTACTTTGTCCTGGTTCCAAGATTTTCCCTTACATTTTACACAGTAGCTTAATCATCTTTTGAAAGATGACTGTAGGTGTCCTGTAAAGCTAGATGTGCAATAAGGTGTCAGATTTTTAATTTTCACTCTGATCAATTTGAGGTCGAAAAATGACTTTTTTAAAAATACAAAAAAACACCCTGGTTCCAAGAACTCCTTTTACATTTAATGCAGTAGCCTAATCATCTTTTTAAAGATTAATGGTGGTGTTCTAGAGATGTGCAAGTTTCAGAATTTCCATTTTCACCCTGGGGGTCAAGTGGGGATCGCAAAATGACTTTTTTTTTAAATACAAAAACACCCTGGTTCTCAGAACTCTTATTACAATTTACGCAGTAGTCTAATCATCTTTTGGAAGATAATTGGTGGTGTCCTGTAGATGTGCAATAAATTTTGACAATTTTATTTTCACCTTGGGGATCATATGGGGCTGCGCCTCGGTTGACAATGGCTTTCTTAGGGTGAAAATTTTCAATGATACACTCAACTTCATGTAATATTTATATAATAGCTTGTTAAGGGCTAGGTTGTTGCTATTGAATGAAAATGATATCTCATTCAAAGGAATCCAAAAGCGATCTATTTTGCCTAAAGTAGCATGTATTAAAAGAAAAAAAATTGCACCATCACGGAGATCTTTTGAAATTGTAGCCCTCTCCTGAAAACATCAGATAAAAAAACGGAGAGGGTTACGTTATTGCTAACCATTTGTTAGATCACTGCTTTTAGACAAACTTACTACGGAAAACTCCGTCGGGTTTGACCGGTCGACAGAGGATGCTTAGTCCTTCTAGACATCTGGTCCTATACCTCTGGTGTTTCCAGGGGTCCGTGTTTTTGCCCAAATTAAAGACCAAATTATGAGATCTAAAATTTTCAATAGCATACGCAGATAAAAACAATGAAAAAAAAAACAACTAAAAAATCTCCTTAATAACAGTATGGCCATGAGAGTTGTGCTCTTGGTCCAGTCATTCCGAATATGAACAATATAGCATTATGAAAGATAGACTAGATTTAAAAACTGATCATAAATAGATAATTTAGAACATAAGTGTTTTGCAATTTTTAATATTTATAAATTTATCTTTCAGATGAAGATGAAGCAATGATCAAGGAGAGAAGCAAGGGCGTTTAGAAAAAACGGACAGATGTTTTATAATTTCAAATTATCAATTTCAAGATCCCAGAAGCAATTTGCGTGAAAGATTTCTTTTTATTTATGTAACTGTTAAAAATAATATTGTCCAAAATTCTAAAAGTATGATGTAGGCGAGATAAGAATGTAATATTCGTAATAAAAATCATCTGTCATCTGTGGCCTTGATTTGTTCCATAGTTCCCTTTTAAGGAGGAAATTCTGCAAAATAACAAGTGCGTTAAAATCACTTTTTTTATTTTTCCAATATCCAAATTAAATTTGAATCACTTTGCCTTTACTAGATTCCTAAAATTCATAGAAATTTTTCCCAACAAATATACCAAGCTTTTTCTTTACAACTTAACAAAAATATTAACAGCATTGAAGAAGAAACGTCGGATCGGAGAACTGTACAACATATCTGAGAAGTATTGTTAATCAAATGTAGATACTTAATTTACGATATTTTATGAAAGCATGTTTGAATAATTTTTTATCTGAAAATTATCAAAACTACAAATTCAGGCGTGTTTCACTTCGATTGTTGTTATCGTCACACATTTCAAGTCTAAACTTTATCCTTAATATTCAGGAAAAATGGGAAAGCTGCGGCTTACTGAAAAAAAAAGACATTTAAATGCTGATTAAGAAGATTAAGAAAGGTCAGAATAGGAATGTAAGCCGGTACACCCGTGTCATCTGTTCATGTTCAGTGATGTGTGTTGTGTTGGCAAATCAAACAAATCTGGTAAAAACTTCCACATCTAGACAAGAACAGGTGCCAGTGTCCCCTTGTTTCATATGTACATTGTATGGCACATTGTAGAATAATAATATTAAAAAAATGAAAAAAAATTCTTTTGTCATCTACATAGCTATAAAAATTCTAGCTTTAATAAACACACATCAGTTTTATGTTTCGAATGTAGTATGTTGATTTAAAGGACGTATACTGATGTCAGAACTGGATCTTGCATTAATATGACCAACGCTTAAATCTAAGTTTTCGATTCATAGTGCTACTCTTTGTTTTGCGGGAATGGTGGATTCTTTCATATAGGGTATCTGTTTTATTTTAATCTGCGAGAGAGATTTTAGTATAATAGTACTAGTTTAATTAATAATTGTTGTTCATTTGATTAATCGTCCTGTCTAAGACACATGTTGAGGTGTCGAGATTATTCCTTATTATCATTTATAACATCAAATGTAAATATAAAACACAGTTCAAATACAATTTATTAAATTCGCCCCTTAGGGTTTATTCCAACTGCTCACAACAGATGAGCATAATTTAATGGTAAATGCAATTTGAAATCAATCAATCAACCTAACAAATGAATACATTTTTGTCATTATACAATTCTGAAAATGATAAGCTTTCCTTCATACTAGTATTTTTTAGTAAAGAGCTAGATACTCTTAAGATGGCATCTGGCTCCATGGCACCTGATCCGATCTCTGATGTTTTTCAGAGGTCCATGTTTGCTCTGCTCCCGATTTGTGTTGTTTAAATGGACTATGAGCTTGCATACTGTTCCTTATTTCCATATTTCATCGTCAAGAAAAAAAATACTTTATTACACATACATACTTGTTTTAATACAAGATGGACACATTGTAATAAGTCTGGCGAAGTATCAGGTACTTTCCATTTTCTAGTAAGTGTTTAACTATGTATGACAGCTGTTTTCCATTGTAACACGTGGAATTATCATGCTTCTAATAATTTCCTTATTGTAAAATAAACATGTCGCTGTCAATGTTTTTCAGAAATCTGTATATATATGATAGTAATGGCTATAACTTACAAGGGATTCGATCTGTTGAAAATGTGTTGAAAAAAAAATAAATAAATAAAAACAAACAAACAAACAAGCATCCTTTGAAACAGTATGAAAGAAAAGTCATTGGATCGCAACCTTAGCCTTTAATTAACAATTTGAAATAAGAATAATTGTTGATTGCAAAATAAACATGGCGTTGAACTATAATTATAAAAATTTGATCATAGTTACATGATATTTGATGGATGATGTTTAGATTTTTTGTTAACCACCTGCAACACAATTTCTAAATTTGGTTAGAGATGATATTGCGTAATTAAGATTAACATTTTCACAACAAAACCAGACAGACATTTATAAATTATAACTCTAACTTGGAAATTAATAAAACTGTTTTTGCACATATTAACCAATAAAATGAAATGTAGAAATGATATAAAATTAAACAATCCTTCCTTATTCTTAACTTCTCTTATCTCATCAGGAAAGGGTTTCAGCGATATGGTGAGAATTTTATTTCTTTTTAATATAAATGTAAACTTATCTAATTTGACTTCGACATACAAAACAATATTCAATTTTCACATTCCAAAATCAAACACACAAAAATATTTTGTATTCAGTGCGTTTACGATTTATTTAATTGTATTTAATTGCATAAACCTTTTAAATAATGCTGATGTCTAGTTTAGAATTAAAGAAGGGAGAAAGAGAATCTCTCTCTCTCTCTAAGACTGACAGGTCGCTTCTCTTTTCCAATAATCAATTTTATTTCTTAAAAGAAACGAATTGATTCCATACCGAAGAGGAATGGTACTTCATTGTATATCTGTTACACACCTTAATTATATATCTATAAAATAATTTTAGAATAAGACGAAATTAAACAATATTATTATATTTTAAATCATTTAATTTTTTCAAAGAGTCTTATGAATGTTTATTCGAATTTTTATATAAAAATCCCATCCTTAGATGCAGTATTTTACATTGCGGATGCTGATTGGTGTCCTGTCCCTAGTGGTGTCTGCATATTTTGTCGAAAGCCATATCTGCCTACGAACATGTGACTTGGAAGACTGCAAAACCAACTGTCAAGCAAACAATTATTTGTCTGCCATGTGTTTGTTATCAGATATTTGTCCAGGAAGTATGCGGTACATCTGTAGGTGCATGGTCAAAACGACAATAAGTAATCGCTGATGCGTTGCAAAAAAGAAGATTGAAATGCATTCATGTATTTCTTTAGAAAATAATTGACAGTAAAATACAGTTAAAAGAACTCAATAAATCTTTTGTATGAATAACGTAGTAGATAAGAAGAACATCAATATATGGTATAGTTTTAGGAAAAATGCCTTTTAAATTGTATTTACTTTTACAGCTTTATTGAATATTGAGTTTATTATATAGCCTATTATAGTCCTTATATAAACTATAATAGTCCTTATATAATTTATGGTTCCTAACACTACATATTCTCTGGAATTGAGGCGATTGGGACGTCACAAACAACACCTCAAATAATGTTGTAAACAACGGTTACAAGGGCCGGAGCCAGATGTATATCTAAGGCGGAAAACGTCTGGCAGACCTATCGCAATACTTTTATCCAATCACTTTATCCAACTGCTACTCATGGTTCCCTTTTTAAGAAGGAAATTCTTCAAAATCATATGCGAGTTTTAAATATTTTTAATATTCCCAACAATCACATTGAATTTGAATTACCATACCTATACTGGATTCTAAACTACCTAAAAATTCTTACAAAGATACATAGCAGGTTCCAATAATGTTCTTTCAAGCCCCCTTCTTTACTCCTCACCAAACTATTAACAGCAGTGAAGCAGAAACTTTAGGACAACTGTACAGCTACATGTTGGAGAGGTGGTATTATTCAGATGTGGAAAAATCCAAGGAATTTTTAGAAGATTTGAAATCACAAAATTTTACCAAAATCAGTAGCACCAAAACGTACAATTTTTCAACTCTTTATACTTCAAGCATTCCCCATGATAAATTAATTAAAGTCCAGGCTTTTTAACGCCATAGACAGCTGTCTTTTCAATTAAAAATTGAAATTAAAAAATTTTGATATCCTGTCATTGGTCATCTGCAAAATTATTTTGTTAAAACTCTTTGTATTTTGTTCACTCTCTTTGTATATACAAGTACATCGAGGCTGATGTTAAAAATTGCTTGAGTTTCTGATTGACAATATCTATGTAGCTATTGGAGATCAGGTTTTCCTATAATGTTTTCAATTCTCATGGATACTAATTCCTCCCCATTATTAGCAGACCTATTTTTGTATTCATATGAAGCAGAATATATTTCAAACATTCTACATAAATTCTCTTGTGGCTTTCAGTTCAACATTTAGATATATCGACGGAGTTTTATCAAATAAAAACTTTCATTTTCTTTCCTACGTTGATCTGGTATATTCCTTTGAACTCAAAATAAAGGATTCCACAGAGTCTGACACATCTGTTTCATATTTACATATTTAAAAAAAAAATAATGGAAAATTAACAATAAAACTTAATGATGAATGTGATAATTTCAGCTTTTCTATTGTCAACATTCCTTATTTATATAGCAAAATACCATCATCACCTGGATATTAAGTTTATGTCTACCAGTTAGTTTGATACGCAAGAGCATGCTCAACCTGTCTTAAACGAGACAAGCTATTGACAAATAAGTTGATGATACAAGGATATCAACAGTCTCGTTTAAAATCAACATTTTCCAAGTTCAATGGCCTGATACAATGACATTGTTAGCAAAAACACTTTATCGTTAAGTCGAATGTTGACTGAAGTTTTTCAATCAAATTGTTAGACTATTATTTTCACACTGAATTGTCATCGGATTTTCCCGTTTGCTTGATCATAAAAAGGGGCACACTGCGGGTGTGGCGGAGATGCTAACTCCTCCATGGCACCGGATCCCATCTCTGACATTTTGTAGAGGTCTGTGTTTGCTCTGTTCCCGATCTGTATTGTTCCGATGGACTTTTGAGTTTGAATACAGGACTGGGTTGTTCAAAACCTTGGTTAGCGCTAACCGCTGGTTAAATCTCTTATCCAGCGGTTAACTTTTAACCATGGGTTAAATTCTGTTGCTCAGAATTTATCCGCTCGTTAACTTTGCCATCCACTGGTTAAATATTGGCCAAAGTTAGCAATTCCACAGAGGTGGGTTAAGTCTCTTATCCAGTGGATAAGCATTGCTACCTAGTTATTGTTTGTTGTAGATTTT